GGCTCTCCTTAGTCCCTCAAGAATGTAGTGGATGAAGTTGTTATGACTGCATTCATCCTTGTCATTTTTAGGGTCCCATTCAGGGTCATACCTAGGCATTGCCTGATCTGTTGGAATTGGGAATCGAGGCTCCCTTCTAGGTATCCAATGTCTTTGTCTTTCTTCTCCCTCCCCCTCCTCCTCCAGTGAGGGCCCAGTAGGAGACAGGCCTGTAGGGCCGCTTTTATCTAAGTGATAATTGTCTCCAGCTGTGACTGCCTGATCTAGAACCCGCTGTTTCTCCAGAGAAGTGAGGGTCTGAGATAGCAATAGCATTACATCTTTCCAGCTCAGTTCAAAGTTTTGGCTGACTTCTCTAAATGCCTGGATGTACTGATCTGGATTTTCTGTGTAATTCCCTAAATCCTGTTTTATTTCTTTAAGTTTACCCACTCTAAAAGGAACATGAGCTCTGTCCCCTCCAGCAGTTAACTGGAGGGGTAGAGTCCTGTGGGACAGCGTCTAGTGTGTGAGGTAGCTGGGTAAGCTGGGTAAGCTGATGGAGCATTAGATGGGTTTTTTTTTGCTCAAGGGACTTTGGGGGCTTTTTGCAAAGGGTTACCATGGTCTGGGTATCTAGCCTGCATTTGTTTAGCCATTCTGAGTGGTCTCTTAGGAAAAAGAACAATTGAACATATGGAACTTCAGTCCACTTTCCCTCCTTTTTACAGAACATATCTAATTGAAGAATGGTATTATAATTAATGCTCCCTCCTTCTGGCCATCTTTCCTCATCTCCCAGAGGATACTGTGGCCAAGCCTGGGTGCAGTAAAACTTGAGTCACTTTTGTTGAAGACTTTCTGGATCAAGATCTTTCTAATGTTTTAATAAGCGGGCAAGGGGGGATCCTTCCTGGATCCTTGAGGCTTGATTTCCCATCTAAAAAGGGAAACAAGGGAAAATTGGTCACCTTAACAGAGGTTTCTCCTTTTATCTAAGCGTCCCCAGATAAGGAGAAACTCTAGTGGGAGAGGGCGTCCCGCTCTCCCTTGCTCCTTCCACTGCCACTCGTGGGTAGAGTCATGGAGGATTTACAAATAGATATCTCAGTTGCACCCACCCCCCTGAGATGATCTTTGACCAACCTCTCATCTATTTTGACTTGCCTGTTTGTCCTGCAACCCAGGTAGTTCTAGTTCTCTATCAGCTGAGCGCTTGTAATTAAAAAGTAACTCTATCAAAGTAACCAAGAGGGCTTGCATGGCCAGAAGGAGGACCCCTTTAGAGGCATGGATGGGGACTCTTGATGAAGTAGACTTTTGTTCCCCTATATATCCTTTGAGGCATATATGCTTTCTGTGAAAGGAGAGAGAGCATCTGGAGGCTTTTGCTCTGGTAAGGGGCAAAAAACGGAGACCTGAGGTTTTTGCCTTTTAACTATTTTTTTTTCTTTTCCTGAGGGCAGTCTGCGGAACCTGTTTAACTAATCTGATGCTTGACAAAGACAGTTAAGCCTAAATTGGAGACTAGCACTTTCTGATCCCTGTAGGGATTTTTCCCAAACTCCCTGAAGAAAGAAGCTCACTGCTATGTACAGCAAAGGCAGGGAGGGGGACACTCATCCTGAACTGCCTGGGAAAGGGGAAAGAGAGGCTGAGGGTTGAGGAAAAAGAGAGTTTCCAGGCTCAACATATGAGGGATTATTGATCATCCCTGCTGTCCAGGTCGATCCTGCCAAAGACAGTACTGGAGCACTGGAAGCAAGAGGTGACCTCCACTCTCGGGCCACGGAAACCATGAAGAAAGCATGAGAGATCTGATTGTCTGTTTGCCACGGATGTGGATGGAGAGGTCCAAGACTTAACCACCTTTGGGGCCTCAGGGCGGGTCAGGAAGTTGCGTCTCCAGCCTTTGGGTGACACCCGGGAGTGCCCCGGCCAGAACACCTTTTGTGGCTTGAAGACAAACTTTCCTTTCCACAGGCTGTTCTCAGACCTCCCCTTAAGCTGGTCAGATCTTGAAAGAGAGTCTTAGTGTTTAAGGAGAGGAAAAAAGAAAAAGCCTTGGTGCACTGAAGTCAAGTTCCGCCCACGTAGCATTGGCAGTGCAGTACAAACCCCTGCCCGGCCTCTGAGTTTCCTCAGATTGCTTGCTGTACAGCTGTAGTGGGCTCGGACCTTTTCCTCAGTTTCCCAAGGAAGAAACGCGCCTTAACAAGACAGAGAGAGAGGGAGAGAAGGTCGACCTGAGAGTTCCACCATAGCTAGGCCGTAGTGGGGGTCTCTCTTGGAAAACAGACGCCACTGGAGTGCCGGACGCTCACGGTCACATTCCTAGGCAGTCTGTCCCAGTTTGGCACAACCTATACTGACCTCAGGTGAAGGCTGGTCCTTTCCTGCATCGCCAAATATGATGCACAGATGACACACGCAGGAATTTCAGATGCTCAGGCAGGGTTCTTGAGCCTGCTCTGAGAATGAAAGCACAGACAGACTCTAACAGCAGAGGTCGGAAAGATTTTATTTGCAGAGAATTTAGTTGGAGAAAAGAGAAGAGATAGACTGCATATTGGAGAATGCAGGGGGACCCGGAAACCGGTGATCCCGTGGGCCTGGGTGGGGAGTGGGGTTTTATAGCCTATTTGCATTGTCTGATGGTGGAGATGCCTTTCAGATGCAAACAGGCATTTCCTAGGGAGGAGAAGTGTCTCCTTGACCACTTCTCGCTTTTGGGACCTCCCGCAGTCCACAGTCCGTCCTTCAGTCCTTCAGGATGAATGCAGTAGAATTTCTGCAACTATTTCTCTGTTGCAAGTGTTGAAGGCCCTGCTCCAGAACCTGAAACATATGTTGTGATTCTCCTCTTGTAGCTTGCCAGAGACCCCACGAACTTCCTCAGAACCTGGACCTCCATAGGACTGAGTTTAGTTATGATATGCCAGCTGGGTCCCCCAAAATAAGTGATCCAGGAGGCAGAGAGTAAGAGAATGTGCTGAGTTCTTCTATCACTTAATATCGGACACAAATCACTTTTGTCTTGATATCAGGCACCCTCACGTAAGTGCCCAAATCCTTGGGTGTTTTGTTTGTTTTGTTTCTATGACCTCAACTGTTACCTTCTGCCAGGAACCATATCTGAATTTTCAGACTGACTACACATAGAATCCTTAGTGCCTGCAGGTGAACTGAGGCTGTAGACTTTGGTGTTGAGTGACTACTACTTTCTAAGCTCTTATGTCTTTCCTATTTTAATGTCAGATCACTTCTTTAGTGTGTCTACATTCCCCAAGAATGGATAACATAGGGAGAAATGCTACTCTGTATTTAATTAGCTTTTTATCTGGCTCCTTATTTGGCAAAAGCCAACAATGAGTTTGAGTTACCTTAAATGTCTAATGTTATCACTTATTACCAGGCAATTACTAAAAGCTTGTCTGGTTTCTTTTCTCCCCACTGATACCAAAAAAGTTCTGAGTAGGCCAAGCCCAAACTAGCAAATGTCCCAGAGGTGAAAAAAAAACAACAAAGCCCCAGCACAGCGGGTTTAGTCATATGATGGAATCTTATGCAACAATGAGAATGATAGAATTATTCATCTCATCAACATGGATGAACTTTACAATGTCGAGTGAAAGAAGTCAGATACAACATACTCATCTTCTATGATTCTGTTTACTTACCTTTCACAATCAGATGTGATTAACTTATGGTCTGGAAATCAGGACAGTGATTACTTTGGAAGGGTGGACAGTGACTGATAACAGGAACGAGAGACTTTTAACGTTCTAGTATTGTTCTTTTTCTTGATCAGTAATGCCAGTTCATGACCTTGTTCATTTTTGAAAATTTGTGGAGTTGAACACCTAGGATTTGTATACATTTCTATTTACATGTTTAACTTGGACAAAACTTTACAATAAAAACCTACAATGTTGGAATTACTTTTTGTTATTGGTGTTACTGTATATTTAAAAGTTTCAAGTCATAATACATATATAATTCATTAGCCACAGGGAATTTTAAGATATAACTAAACTCCACTAGGATTTCTGGTAGTACCAGGATTTATCTCAGTGTAAGGGTGAGCATTTGAGCAGGTTCTGTGCTAGTTTGCTCAAAGTATTTCTCCTCTTGTGTTGGAACTGTGTCCCAGTTCATAGACGTAAAAGTCATCACCGATCTCTTCATGGACCTTACGAAAACAGCATCTTCTGGGTCTTCAAGCACAGTCCTGCAAGGGTAATAGTTATGTCAGAAAAAAAAATCAATTTGACCAAGATGAACTTGTGTGTGTGGTTCTGGGAATGGAACCCAGGGCCTCATACATGCTAGGCAAATGCTTCATGAATACCCACAACCTCTAGTTCTTTTATTTAAATGAATAAATGCCATATTTTCTGTTATTTGCAATATAGTGCTGCTCACAAATAATGTGTACGCTTTATTGACAAGTGACTTGCAGGTTAATTGACACCATTTTTATTGTGAAATGGTTTATTTTTAAAATACAGCATCTGGGTATATTTGGGGAGTAATATTTGTCAACACTGAATCCAAAGAAATGATTCATAAATGCAAAAATAATGGTTTTTACATTCATCAGTATTCATGAATTTGAAATATCTCCCACCCAATTAATGAAATGTTTGCTTTTAAGAATGTAAATTCTAGTGAATGTAAAATGCTAATCTCCATGATAATTACTTCCACTGAACATATTTAGAGGAAAAGTAAACAAGTAAAGTCCCTCATTTGGAATAGCTAGTAATTCCTAGCAAGTTTTAATGTTTTATGCATCAAATCACCTTTTCATTTATATGAGGTTGTTAAAAACCTCAATGTGTCAAATATGAATACATAGCAAGAACTCATTTATTATAGAAAAAACATAGCCATTTTCCCATCTATTGAAGAGCTAGTCATTTTTTTTATTTATTAAAATTTATTTTAGAAATTGGGGATAATTTAGAGAGACAATTATGAAATGATCTGAAAATAAAAGTCAAGATGTAAAAAAACACTTACTTGTCTACATTATCTGCAAGTGCAAAATCTAAAAAAAGAATAATTCTAAATTAGTATTTTTCAAATGTTTATCTAGCACTTGAAAAAATGGAACGACACTATAATACAGTGCACTAGCATTGTGCTTTCAAGTAATCTATTAAAAATGACTTGACTCCTAACCCAAAGCTGAAATTTTCTCTTACATAGGGTTGGTTTTGCCTGAAGTTTGGGGGCAAATTCTTTAATTAAATCCCTGAGAACAGAATGCTTAATCAACTTAGTTGCCAGTGGAATCCAAGTGGGAATTTTTATAATTAAAATATTGACATTCATAGTGCAGAAGTGGATCCTTCTTCTGAAAAGCATATACACCTATAAATGACTAACCCAAATGCGGAGAAATATTTAGGGTCATTTCACCCATTTGAATTCTTGGCATTAACTTCAAAGAAAGAAAATAAAGGAATCTCAGATCCTAGGAATTTCTGTCCTCCCTAGCTTTAGAGCTCAAGGACTAGTCCTCAAAGCCTGGAGCTTCGTCATCACTTTGTTTATTCCTTTCCAGAAGGATTAGTGCCAGGCCAGAGTTGGATGGTCCCAGCACCTGTTGGGTCACTAGAGCCCGTAGCACGAGCCCTTGCCAGTCCACAGGCAGCAAAGTACACACAACTGCTGTCTTGGAGGATCTGTGGCATCTTTGTGGCTTGCGCAAGTCTCCCATGCCTTTCTGAGCTCCCCAGTCTCCTTAGTTTTTACATTTTTCTCCCAGTGTTATTGAAGGATAATTGCAAAATAAAAATTACATTTATTTAAGGTGTACAACTATATATAAAGTGAAACAATCACCATAGCTAGTTCACATATTCATTATTTCACAAAGCTGCCACTTTCTTTTTTGCCATGTGTGGTGATGAAAACATTTAAGATCTACCGTTAGCAGATTTCAAGTCCAAAATATTGTTAACAGTAGTCACATTACATTAGTTCTCCAAAATCGAGTCATCTTGCATAGTTGAAACTTCATCCCCTTTGACCAACATCTCCCTGTTTCTCCCTCTGCCCGGTCCCTGGCAGCTACCATTCTATTCTCTGCTTCTCTGAGGTTGACCATTTAAATTTCGTATATAGGTGATACTATGCAGTATTTTTCTTTCTGTGTCTGGCATATTTCACTCAACACATGTCCTACAGCTTTATCCATATTGTTGTAAATGGCAGGATTTCCCAGGATTTCTTCTACAAAGAAATAATTACAAAAAGCACACTTTTTCTCACAATGATTATAAATAACAGGGAAAATAGTGGGTAGAAAGTGTAATCTCACCTTCCAATTTCTCTTATCAGAAGTATCACTATTAAGCAGTGAGGGTATAGCTCAGTGATAGAGTGCCATGCTTAGCATGTATGAGGCCCCAGTTCAATATTCAGCAACCAAAATAAAGTTCACTATTTAGAGTTTCATGTGTAAATTTCCAGACTAGAGATTTTTGTTGACAAAATTTTATTTTGTTTTTACCCCACATGATAATACTTTCCAATACCTTTTTAAATATCCCGACTTTATCATGGAATAATCATGTAGTGGAATAGTTTGTATTAAGTAATATATCATAAAATAATACTACCCGGTGAACCAACATTTAAATTATATCGTCTACGTTTGCTATTATAAAAACATTCTAAGGACAGGTAAGGTGGCTCGTGCCTACAATCCCAGCTCCTCAGGAGGCTCATGGTTCAAATCCAGCCAGAGTAAAACATTAGCAAGCACCCATCTCCAGGAATGATGGTGCCTGTGATCCCAGCTACACAGATGGCCATAAGTAAGAGGATCCTAATCTGAAGCTGGGCCCAGGTAAAAACTTGTGAGAGCCTACCTGCAAAAATAACAAAAGCACAAAAATGCTGGAAGTATGGCTCCAGTGATAGAATGCCTTCCTAGCAAGCACGGGCCTTGAGTTCAAACCTGGTTTCACCAAAAAAAAAAAACAAAAAAAATGTGCAATGGCTGGCCTAATACATAATATTTTTCTTGTCTACATATAGGCACTTCTGTAGGGGAGATTTCAAATTGAATTTCTATGTCAAATGGTTTGCAAATTTTATACACTAATAGCTACTACCAGCTATGATCTACAAGACAGCTGAACCAGTTTTTGTTGTCATTATTAACATGAATTGTGCACTTTCCTCTCATTTTTGTAAGTCTTTCAAAAATGTTGCCTACTCATGGGTGAAAATAGTACCTGATTTTTTGTGATTTGCATTTATTTGATCATTATTTTCATTACTTTCTTTCCATAAACATCCTGTCCATATTTTTGGTCACTTTATTGGGATTTGTTTTCTTTTTCATTTATTTTTTGCTATTGTTTTGAGACAGGCCTCAGCATGTAGCCCAGGCTGGCCTTGAACTTGTGATCCTCCTACCTGTGCCTCCTGAGTTCTGGAAAAACAGGTATGCACCATCACACCCAGCTTGTTTGGATTTCTGTAGCATATAAGAAATTAAATCTTGGTTGGGTTCTGGTGATACATGCCTGTAATCCTAGCTATTTGGGAGGCTGAGATTGGGAGAACTGTAGTTCAAGGCCAGCCTGGCAAATAGTTCATGAGACCCCCATTTCCAAAATAACTAGGACAAAATGGACCTGAGTTGTGTCTTAAGTGGTACAGTGTCTGTATGGCAAGTACAAAGCTTGAGTCAAAACCCCAGTACCACCAAAAAATAAAAATAAAAAAATAACTTCCAACTAATGAAACATCACTGAAAATATTCATTACATTTGCATATAATGACATCATATGTGAGTATTGCCAAAATATTTAGTGCTTATTTCCGGGTAATGAAACTGTCAATGATCTTTATTTCTTCTTAATATTTTTTCTATATCATCAATAACTTCTAGCCTTCACTGATGAAATACTTTTGTGCTGGAGATAATAGTAATACGTATCGCTTATTTATTGATCCCTTTATACTCTGCTAGATACTGGGGGAGGGGTTTCAATGTATTATATCTTTATTATTACATTACTTCATTTAATTTAGTATGTACAAATGTAAATGAAAGTTGCATATACATTTTAACTAGACCAATAAAATTATAAAATTTGAAAAATATTAGAAATAATAATTTGAAATAATTTTGCTATATATATAGGTACATAGTTTCTTCTAAATTAAAGTTATTTTTATAATCAAGTCTGCCAAAAGCTTAAAGAGCATTCGTTTCATTTTTTTCCAATACCTGAAGGTGGCCTCTGGACAGGTTTCTGTTTTATTGGTAGCTTAGGGTTCCATGAGGCATCTACTTTTCCTCCAAATGCTATTGATTGAATGGTATGAGCCTTTTTATGGTTAAAGATGGTAATCATTGATCTTCTTTCTTTTTCTGTAACTTCTGATCGATACAAAAAAGGAATAGCATTATAAATAGACAGGCAGAGTAATTCAACATACAGCTGGACACTTGAAATGCATTTAACTGAACTGCACTGTGTGTGACCGTCTTGTCAAAGTGAATTCATGAAGGGGCTATCACAGCTATTCCACAATCTTACAAGCATTCAAGGCATGCCCCATGTCACATGGCCACTCTCATCATTAGCCCTGAAGTCTCATGTGTACCAGAGACTGCCTAACATGTGGCCAGCATGACGTTCCTGGGCCATCCCTGCCTGTCCTCGCGGCTGTGGGAAAGAGAAGACATAACCGTGAGGTTTTGATACTTCCTTGTGGAAAGAGGTTATTCAGTAGTATGTTATTGAGAATGTTCTGTAGAGCTAGAAAGGTAGGAAGATGGAGAGTATAGAAAAGTAAGGAGTTAGAAAGGTAGGGAGATGGAGAGTGTAGCCCTTAAGGGTAAGATAGGGCTCAGCGGTGTAAAATGTAAGGCGCTGAGGTTGATTGCACATGTGTGGCTCACGTACACCCAACTGCAAGTTTATGTACACTGCATGAAGATATTTTTATAGAGAATTTATCATTAATTTTAGCAACTTTAATACATATGAATTACAGAATTTCAAAGAAAACGAATTTTAGAATTTAGGAGATTTAGTCTAATTCGCTCATTTTTTGAGCTAAGAAACTAATGTGTCGGGGGGACAGTTGATTTGGCCTGCAACATGTTACTGTCAAAGGCAGGCCGGGGAGGAGAGCTAGATAGCCTTTCTGTAAAGTGCTAGGGAAATGAATCTGAACTGAGGCACGTTTCACACAGCAAAAGTTTCAAAGTAAATAACTGAAAAGCTTCCATTTATTCAACAGCATTATTTTACAAAGACACATTTTCAAAGCTTTTCTGAATTTTTTAACCATTGAGTTATAAGACTGCCTTATCATGTATTTCTCTACAAGAGAGAGGTTAACCTTACTATTTCGGTCAAGCAGCTCCACTCCCGGAAGGTGGTAGATTATATATAAGCGATACAGATTATATTGGCAAAAAGGGTTTTGGTACAGACCTGTGAAGGAAGAATCCAAAATAAAATGTCAGATTTCAAACTTAGTTTCATTTGCCACTTGATAAAATGGAGAAATCACAGGACTTGTGTCCAGCGTGAGGCTTCACATACAACAGGGACAGTTTTGCTTAGGTCACGTCAAAGGCCTCGTTAAGCCTTTACTTATTCAGAATAGCACTTAATTTTCCTATCTGTGAAATTCATTCATTCAACAAATATTTACTGGTAGGTCCTGGGGACATATCATTGACCCAAATCTGCCACAAATGAGGAAAAATTTAAGTAAATTTATCCAGGAAAAACAGGGTATCAGCTCTATGGGTGTCTTCTAGCCTCAAAGGTCATGAGGGGGGTCTCCTGGGTGGAGAGGGGCAGAAAAGTACTATGCTAGTCCAGTAGACTCTTCTCACTCCACTTCATTGCATTGTGCATGGTTCAGAATATATAAATGCCAGTAGCAATTTGGATCTCAGCAAGAACAGAGTTGAGCAGACTGGATGCTGCATCTTGTCTGCCTCTAGTCAGACACAGGCAGCTCTGAGAGCCTAGTGTGCAGGAGCTAGGAGATGTGATGACCCTGACTCTTCAGTACAGTGACCAAGGAGGAGGCATGTGGGTGCAGAGGAGCTCCTGGCACTCATGCTGCCACATTCCCTCAAGAGTCAACATGCAGGTGCATTTAAAAATACATCAACTAGAAGTTGTGAGGATTTTATTTTCAAGTAAATCGTTTTGTCTGTTCATCCTAGATAATACTAAATGGATTATTTCAATTCCTTGTGAAATAAAGCTTTTCTGATTTCCAGTTGGGGATCTTTAGATTGCTTCCATGCAATTTCTAGAAAATACTTCCAAAAATTACACGTAGCGTGAAGAACCACTAGATGGCAGTAGCAGAAAGAGCTCCAACTATTGCACAAACCATCACTCAACAAAATGTGGCTCCTTTAATGCATATGCTAAATTTAAGAGTAAGGCTGTCAACTATTTATAAAATACAGAATTTAACCACAGAATGAGAATATCAAGCATTAGAAACCCAGAAAAAAACTGATTAATATTTATAGTGCACAGTTTGCCACACAAAGGAGATTGAGAGGGACATGCTTAAAAAAACAAACTAGCAAAAAACTGAAAAAAAAAAAATCAACAATCTGGATGTTTCCTCTGTAGGCAATAAAACATCATGATACTTCTTGCATAAACACAAATTTTCCTGGCTTGTAAAATCCTTATATATAGCTATTCCCTGTGGAAAACATGAGCTTTAAAGGGGCATAAAATAAGCAATGGAAGACACCTGGTTCATAAGGAACCAAAGTTAAAAGAATGAGGAAAGGCATAAAAGAAAATGTAGAACCAGGAGCAACAAAAACTTGAAAAGAAAGGAAACATGTATTGGGGGAAATAAGAGGAAAAATGAAAGAAAAATTTCAAGATCTTTTAAGTGACAAAAAAAATGGTTTGAATTTTATTCTTAAAAGAAAAGGACCATAAATTGGGAGTAATTATAACTACAGAACTGGGAATAGAACGGATGTATTTTAAACTAGTAATAAGGACAGATTTTAAAAGATCCACAGGGAACCTGCATTTTAGTTTGGGCCAGAGAAAGCAAAGGACACTTCAAGGATACCAAAGCAAAACACAATTGTTTTTAATGAGCATTTAGGAGGAAGAAAGAGTCACAAATGCTTTACTGCAGAAGTCTGCTTCGTGGCTACTGTCTTGGGAAATCACAGCTGATGCCTCATCACCATGCCATACATTACAGCAGCTGGGAGTCAGTCTCCTTTTCATGCTATGTTAATGAAAATGTACTTTCAATGACATTTACTCTTCATGTACGTTTCACACTATCTTTTCACTAGGAAAATATTACTGACTCACTTCCTTTCTTTGCTTTTTCTCTTAATTCTTAGTCAAGTAACCTCTTTATATAAATTTAAAGCTCTAGCTTCAGTTTAGCAAAACACCAAACTTGGATTTACATCACATTGCTTATTAGCAAGGTATCTCTATATTATAAACTGGTTGTGATTCACCACTCAGCTCATCTAAAGCAGAACCTGAGTGACAGAAAGTCAGAGAACTGAGCTATTGGCCCAGCCTCTGTGTACAGTAATTAAAAGAAAATGAGCTAAATAGTTTGAAAGGCATTTAAAACTTTATTATTGTTCATTTTTTCATAGCTCTTAAATTTTAGAAGGAAGCAATTTTATTTTCAACTTTTTTTTTCCTTTTGTAGTATTAAACATTTAACAATTTGGATTTATGAGTTTTGGATGGGTGCTTCTAAAATTACCATAAATTAAGTTTCTAAGATATGAAATCAGTTTCCTGTGTCTGAATGTTCTGAAAGCCTTCTATGATGTATGGGCACATTCCTTTAGAAACTATGAAGCAAAATTGCTTACACTTTCACTTTCAATAGGTTAATACGATTTAATCCACCTTCCCTCTAGGCTACTTACAGAGTACACCTCACTGGCGCCAGCACTGTCTTGCTTATCTTAATTTGGGATTCAGAGTCTAAGCAATTTACAACTACCCAATAATATATCAAAATGTCTCTACCACCTTGCTGCACAAGCTTGAGCGACATGAGTCACATGTGTGAAGCTACTTCTTAATGAGAGAGAGAGGAGAGAGAGAGAAGTAAGAGATACAGTCATTTGAGTAATTGGCTGTAGTTACATTTTTAAACTTTTGAAGCATAATTTAAACAATCATCATTTAAATGTACCCAAATGTTCTTAAGGTGCCTTTGAAGAAAGCTGATGTAATTAACAGAGATCAAAATACCCACTTTAACAGATGGACAGGGTGATATAGAGAGTTAACTTAGAATAGCCTGTGAAAGAAGTTCAACTGCCTATGATCAGACTCCTAGATTTTGAGGTTCTGGATCAAAGTTACTTAGACAATTCAGCATCCTTCCATTGTTATTATTACTATTTTATTTTAACTTATACAACATCACACAACACACAACACATGCATTTACTAAGTATGAATATCACCCTTGGTTTTAAAAGGCAGGCTGGGATAAAGCAGGAGGTGATGAAAGTTGGAAGGATGGGAACATTGTCTTTTCAGCTTGAACCATAGTGAGACAGTCGGTTCTTCCGGTTTGGTGTATGATTTTGTTGTTTGGAAGATGTGGCCCCAACTGAAGCTCACTATAAGCAGAGGCTCAAATGAAGGACCCTTGAGATCACATATCCCCCAGCAGCCTCTTCACCTCTGCCTTTTTGTTATGCAAAGTACATGGGGGCCACTGCTGATGGCAAGAGCAAAGGAAGTTTAAAAGAAGTACCTTTTAAGTACCTCTCTTAAAAGACTGAACTCCTTTTCCCAGTGGTGATTCTGGGAGACCCACTGGCAATACATGGTAACAATTATGAATGTAGAAGTCTAACTGTTCTTCCCAAGAGCAGAGCTTAATGAAACAGAGAAAACAAGAAATGCAGAGAATGAAGAAGTTAAGAATAGAATGTGTTCAGTGTTTTTGTTGGTGGTTATGTTTTTTCCCTCAGTGCTCAAAAAAAAGGGCAGGAAGTCCGAAGGTGAGTGAAAGTCGTCATCCATCAAGTGGGTCTTTGACACATGTGGATTCTGATTTAGAAAGAAGCTGGAGGAGGGAAGGCAACAGGAAAATGGAGTTAGAAAGGGAAGCCAGGAAAGGTAGACCTCCTGGAGAGAAAAGGTGGGGCCCCTCACTTGCCTGGAAGACAGGAATTCCAGTCACCAGGACCTCACACTCTGAAGCTAGTTTCAGGCCTCCCTGAAGCTCCCAGCCATGTGTCCCTTGGGCAATCACTTGGCACTTCTCCTCATAAATGCCAGTGGAGGATGCAATGCTGAAATGGATTAGAGGTTATCCTTCAGGCTGTTTTCTCACCCTCTGAAGAACTTGTAATTAAAGTGCAATAATAATAGCACTTTAGGTTTTTATATGGTTTTCCTACTTGAAATGACAAAAACTGCAACATTTGAAAATACATGGTTTTCTCATTTTAGTTAATGAGCTGAATCTAGTCTATGATTGCAAATGAAGCTCATAGAAACTTAAGCTGAGGACTTAACTGCACAAGTAATGTTCACAGTCTAGTAAATGCAAGCATTTTTCATAATACATCTTGAATCAAAATGGGACATGAGATTAAAATGTGAATATTTGCTACCAAGAATTTTCTTTTTCTTTATTCTTTATTTTTTTTTTAATTAGACATAGCATTTTCTCTATTTTAAAAAAATGACCCCATGACAAGATTCTCAGTTGGGATAATTATAGTTATAAGTTGAATTACATCATTACGATTTTAAGTGGTGCTCATTTTAATAGTCATGACAGGAATAATATGGACATTATATTATTTGGTTGGCCTTCAAAAATGACAAGGACATTCCATCCATCTCCCTTCCCCCCACCAGGACTACCACAGTTCTGTGCACACCCTTCTTCACAATTAGGGTACGGGTTGGATTTCAGTGTCTACTCAGTCTGGATTGGGCACCTTGACTCAGGGCATAGCCCTGTCCACTATTGTTCACTACTCATGGGCCATCCTTGTTTACTACTCTCTGAGTGTTGTTTTATAACATAAATTTGCTTAAATTGTGGAGTTTTTACATATAGTAAATTGTTCAAGTAGTTTGCATCAAGCATCTTCAACTCTCTAAGAACTATTTAGGCTGTGAATTGTAAAATTGTGAGATCCATAAAAAGTACAGACTGGTGTTCTGTTTTCTTGTAGAGGGTCAGATAATGAATGTGTGATACATATTTATTGAATGAATGAATAAATTGTACTTATTGAATGAATGAATAAATAAATGGTAACGAAACAAAGTATGAATTGAAGTTTACACATTCCTTGGTAGTTTGGTTAAATCTGTATGCTTTGCATTTCCACCACTGAAGAGGGAATAATACTAATCACATCATAAGACTGCTGTAAAGACTTTGGTAAGAAATAAGAAGACATTTTCTCAATAGAAAAAACATTCAAACGTGTTACTGTAATGACTGTTATTTAAAATATTTCTTCACGTCTACTTGGGAGGCTGAGATTGGGAGGATGGCATTTCAAGGCCAGCCCAGGGCAAATAGTTCATGAGACACCCATCTCCAAAATAACCACAGTAAATAGACTGAAGACGGGCCTCAAGTGGTAGAGCATCTGCTTTGTGAGTGTGAAGCCCTGAGTTCAAACTTCGGTCTCACCAAAACCAACAAAAATCTGTTTTATTTTATTGAGTCTATATGCAGAATTTCTAAACTGCAACTTCTTAATTACCTAATTTACATAATACACAATAGTTTAAAAAAATTTTTTTTGCTACTTCAAAATAACATCAATGGAAAGAAATGTTTTCTTAAGAGGTGCTCTGCAGAGTTATCTCAATGTTTGCAGCAGTTCTGAGAGATTATCCCATGTTATAGAAAAGCAAAGAGAAGAAAGTGTCTCACATGTAGCACTAGTCCTTTAATCACAGAAGCATTTGTTCAGCATGGAAGGGCAATCCTGAGCTTGTCAGAGAGTATCAGAAAAATTCCAACAGGAGATGGCCTTATCACATTTCCAAAATCATCATGGAACTGTATGACCTTGCTATGATTCTGTGATTGTAATATTTGGATTTAAAGAGTACCTATGATCACATGAATCATTCCTCTGCAGTCCCGCAGCTGTTACTGATAACAGTAGAGTCTACGGAAGTCACTTTTCTCTACCTGTTGGTCTGATCAGACCCTTCACCACCAATCTAGGTCACACGTACTCAAAACGCTGACTCTGAGAGTTCTGACCGATGAAGAGAAGGTGAGTCCAGGAAAACTGATTATTTCATGACCTGCAATGAGCTCTCCACACTCTAAAGTCTGAAAACCTGGATCTGAGGCTCTTTCACCATGTACCCCTAGAAACATTTGTCTTATATTCCAGTTGTGTGCGTGTTTAGTAACCCGTCGATACCACAAGCAGATTCTTAACCTATTCTAGACAAATTTCTTTTCAACAATGAAGCCATTTCCTTGCTGGGTGCTATTCAATACGTATGAATGTAGCTTGTTGCTCATATACTTTACATACCATATGATTCACCCACTTAAAATATACAATCCATGCATTTTGCATATTCACTAAGCTGTGCAACTTATCACCATAATCAATTTTACAACTTTTTATCACCCCCAAAAGAAGACCTATAGTTCTTACTATTTAGTTATCAACCCCCAATTTCCTCCTCTCCCCAGTCCTGAGTGAACACTAAGCTCCTTAAAACCAGTTTCCTCTATAGATGTGTCTATTTGGGATATTTCATATAAGTGGAATCATACAATATATGTTAAAACTTAGTTGTGAGATAAAACCAAAAGCACAGACTTAAACATGTTGTCATTTTCATCTGACGTGTCATATAAATTCACAAATAAGTATTTTCTCCCTGTTGTTTTTATCAAAAGCATGTCTTAAAAAAAGAATAAAACTGGGCCAGGCGCAATGGCTGATGCCTGTAGTTCCACCTACTTGGGAGGTGGGTGGGTGGTGGTTTGAGGGCAGCCCCCACAAAAAGGAGACCTATCTCAACACAAAATTCAAGTGGTGATGTGTTCTATAATCCCAACTATGTGGGAGGCCTAGGTACGAGGATCACAGTCCAAGACTGGTCTGGACAAAAAATATGAGACTATCTATAAAACAACTCTTAAAACAAAAAGGGCTGGAGACATAGCTCAATAGACATCTTGAGTTCAAACCACCAGAAAAAAAATCTAGTCATGTTTTAAGGATATCTCAGTATTTTAGTTACAAATATGGTTCCTGTAATCTTAAACTTCAGAAAAATGTCTCCAGTTACCAGTATTTTACTTCATATGTTTTTGATCATATAAAAGTACAAATAGATACTTAGGGTCTTCAGCTTCAGCATGCCCTTCAATTCCTTCACTGTGGCATTGATGTCCGTCATTTCGTTGTGGTGCAGCAGGAGTATATGCAAGGAAGGCAAGTAATGAAGGCCTACAGATGTTTCCGCAAAATTAAAACTTTTTTTAGTTTATTGTTTACTTTTTTAAATTAACAAATGAAAGCAAACAACTTAACATTAATTAGACATGCTAACTAAACAAGAAAATATATTACAGCTGGTAAAAGGATAATGATATCATGAATTATTATTAAAATACAACAAAGTACAAAAATTAAATAACCAATTGTGATACTGGAATATAGAGTCCTTTCTTATGACTGTTTTTGTGCCACTTGTTTTTCTGGAGCAATGATTTTTCTTATTTGAGTTTGGAGGGTTGTTTTCGTTCTTTTTGTTTTATTTTGTTTTTTGTTTTTGAGACAGGTCTTGCTGTATAGCTGGGGCTGGCCTCAAACTTGCCATCCTCCTGCCTCAGCCTCCCGAGTACTGGAATTGCAGGCCTGCACTACCACACCTGGCTTCTTCTTCTTTTTGTTGGTTTTTGTGGTGTGTGAGTGTGTGTGTTTGTTTGCTAATGTTACTTAGATTTAAAATGCCAATCAAGGGAATAATTACTCAACTAATTCAATGCCTTCAGTTAAGTAATGTCCTTGTACAATAAAGAAACTACATATTCATATCATTTTTGTTGTCTCGAAATTACACATTCCCCCATTTTTTTTCAGACATACATGGAAGAGGGATGAGTATGTGACAGTAACATCATATATTAATTTAAAATATTTTCTTTCTTAACGGTATATGAAATTATGGTAGTTAATAAAATTTACGGCATTTTCATTCCATGATATAGCATATTAAAGAAAAGTGTTTCGTTCTGCAGCTGATCATATTTCATGATCGTGGCATGTCATAAACTTTTATACCTGGCTTGAAATTATCAGCTTAGAGAATGTTGCACATATAAAATTAACCCAGAGTGGAAACAGGAATTTGGCTGGTAAAAATTACAGCCAGTAAAAACTTTTAAGACTACTTATAAGGACTTTATATTTATTAATGTTGCCAAATATTATTAAAATTGGTTTATACTGTATTAGTTTGTGTTCAACTGTGCAGCAAAATGGAAGCTTCCT